TTAGAAGCATGTAAAAAGAACTTGGTTTATATTTCAGTTCCATTTAATGCTTATAGATGAAACATGAGTATCAGGTGCTTCTGAGATATTAATAAAATACAAGAGCTGCGTGAGAGTGAGATTTTTTTTTTTTCCCCAAACAATGTTCCATGTGTTTGCATTGTTTGGAAATGAATGTTTTTTCCTGTTGCACTGGAGCATAATCTTAAATGAATATATAAACCCATCTTTTTGTTATTTCCATTAACTGGTGACAGTGTTGTGTTAGGCACCCTGCAGAGAAACAAGCATTTGTAACAATTTCTCAGGTTTTAAACTATTTCATAGGAATGGTATGTTGTAGTGATCTGCAGATTTTTATTGCTGTAGCAGATTTTGCAGAACTGAAGTAAATTTTTTTTAATATTGCCTTAGGGTTTGATTATTGTATCATTTGCACAAGCAATTCTTGCTGGCTTAGAGTTCTGCAAATGAAGCAACTGCAGCACTGGGCATTGGAAGAACAGAATTAGTCCTGTGATCTGAAATTGAACATAAACCCATCTCATTTTCCTCCCTTTTTTTCATAATTGTTAAGTATGTTTGTTGTTCAGAGCTGCCTGCATGGAGCCCTAAAAATGTCATGGATCAAATTTCCATAAATTTCCATAATTATCCATTCTCATATGCAGATATTTCTATACTGTGGCTGTTTTAAAAAAAGCAAAATATTTTTGTCATTTCAACATCTTGATCACCCATTCCCACTGCTGTAGCTGAAAGTACAAGTTGTCTTAATTTCTCTAGAGAACAGAAATTGCTGTTTCTCTAACATAAAATACCTGTTCTTTTTCTCTCTCCCTCAGTCCTTCACTTGACCACTGTTATTCCTCTTCCATTTTGATCAGTCCCTACTCTTCTGAGTAGATCTCTGAGTTCCTTTCATTTTCCTTTGGAGACAGGCAGCTGAGAAAACTGGAGATAGAAGAAAAAGTTGAAGCTCTGGCAATATGTCAGTGATGAAATGACATTGCTCATAAATTATTTCTTCTTAATTCTTGCACTACAGAGAAGACCTAATGGACCACTGCTGTATTTTTAACATCCCTTTACTTCACTGTCAGCAGTGACTTTAGACTCGAGCAGAAGCCAACTTGTACAAATAGGTGAAAGTTGTTGAAATGCGATCCCTGTTATACAGCAGCCACCTTATTCAAACACAAACTAGATTTTTCAAATTTAAAATCCCTCTTTGAATTTTGTCTTGATAGGTATCTTTGTTATGGTTCTGAATGCCTTTTTTGTCCTGACCTCATAGGATGTAGATGTAGCTCATTTCTGTTCTTCCTGTTTTTTTGAAAAGAAATCATATACTAGCTGAAAGCATCCCATAACCTAAAAGACTCAAAATACTCAATTCAGCTGGATGTCTTGATTCACAATATAAGGCTTGCTATTGGTATTTCTTCCATCAGTGATCTCACCAGGCATAGTGTCCCTACTCATCTGGTTTTGTCCTTTCAGCTCTGGTCTAGTGTTACTTTGCTGGTCTCAGATGAGGTGGAAAAAAAGCAAATGCAGATAAATTTGAAATCAATACCATACAATATGACCTGCTGAGGAATAGTGGGCTTTTTAGTTAGAGTTTAACGTATTACAGCTGTAACTGTTAATCTGACAGGAGAACATATTAACCTATTAAATGTTTTGAGCAATTTTTTTTAATTGCATCAAATGTTGTCCTTCTCCCACTTCTATTTCAGGTACTGAGAGCACATATATTGCCACTGACTAATGTAGCATTTAACAAATCTGGTTCCTGGTAAGTTGTTTTCAAAGTCAAAATATATAATCCCTAACTGAAGTTCTGTATTTGTAAATTAAGTTGTAAGGGAATTATCTTGCTGCAAAAAGAATTCAGCTGTGCTGCTTATAAGCAGCTTCAAGTGTGATTGGGGATTGCATTTCAGGCCTTTGTGGGAGAACCAATGGGAGATGCAAAAAGGTAGTGCGTGAGATTCAATTTATGTAATTTTTTTTCTTCCAAGGTGATAGTTTGTTGACAATTACCATATTTCAGAATGAAATACCTTTATGGCAATAAAGTGAATATTATTAAAAGCTAAATGAGTATTTGACAGAAATTCATTTGGGACTTTCTCTGGAATTTTACATTAATTGATTTCACTGTAGGCATATGCCTAATAATTTTTTCCTTCATGTCTTGAAAGCAGCAGCTTGCTTTTTAGTTGAAATATATTAAAGATTAGAAACAAGGTGTTTTTAATGAGTAATATTTAAATAAAAAAAGGAAAGGAACTTCTATGGTCATTAATCTATATTTTTGAAAGAAAGAAGAGATTTAGGGTTTGAGGCAGTGCTAACTGAAATTTGTGGAAATAACTCATTTGACTATGCACCAGGACCAGTAAGATACTTATGTATCCAGAAATTAATTTCTCTTTGCTTTAGCTTTATCACTGGAAGCTATGACAGAACCTGCAAAGTATGGGATACTGCATCAGGAGAAGAGCTACGTACACTGGAGGGACACAGAAATGTCGTCTATGCAATAGCTTTCAATAATCCCTATGGGTAAATATATTTTCTCTGAGATACATCATAATTGCTTATCGTGTTATTTTGCAAATACAGAACTGTTACTCAAACTTCAACATAAAATTGACTATCTCAGATTGAAAAAGTTCAAATTCTGAATTTGTAAAGTTCAACTATAGCTAATCACCATGGGATGAAACTGTATATTATTTGTATGAGAGATACATTCAAGCATGTTTTCTGCTATAATTTTTTTAAAATGAAATTTAGAAATTCAAAGCATGCATTTCACTAGGTGTTCAGTGTCTTGAAAAATGCATATATGAGTCAGTTTAACATCTTGAAACACAGATTTATTTCAATAGTATCTACATGATCAGATAGAGTTCTGAACGTTAATCATTCTTTACTGCCTCTACATCATTGTATATGATGTGAGATATAAGTACTTACTGACACCTTATATTGCTTCAGTTAAGGAGAAAGAACATTTCTGTCATAGCAAAAGTGGATTTCTCCATTTGGTGTTGTACATTCATTACTATTTAGGACATGCTTTAGAAGTGTCAGAGCTGTTGAGTAATTTTTATGAAATCCACAGGGTGCCGCTGTATGAATGTCAAATATGAATCTGTGCATCTTGATTTCTGCAATAACTGTTTGCCCTAGGTTAGAATTGCCACCTGTTAGGTGAGGGGAATTACATGTTGGCTACTAAAGTTTATTGTTATTTGGTTCCTGAGGAAGCTGTTTTGTGTAAGTAAACCATTTTGCTTCTCTGCAAAATAAGAGAAATTAATTCCTATTTTTATATTGAATTACATTACTTCTTTCACTGTCAGATGTGCTATTTATCAATTAAGCAATACAGAGTTACCATCAGGAAATAAGTGTTAAAGAGCTAGTTCTTATGCTCTTTGGAGCATCATCATTTCCTTCTAGGTGAAGACTTTATCCAACCTAGAACCCACCATATCAATGTCTTATATTGCGATATCATTCTTTACATTAAAAAAGCAATTAATGAAACTCTTATATACTTTGAAGAAACTAATGTATGACAAAAAAATGTGCAAAGACCAATAACTAGACTGTCACATAAAAGCAGAAAAGCAATATATAGTAAGCAAACCCCTGATGAGCTACTTTTAAATTAGAAGTTCAGTAAATAAAATCTGGGTAATTCACTTCAGTCTTGCTCTAACTGCAGTTGGTCACAATGCTTCAGTGGGAGTGGATTTCCACTTCTGAAATTTGGGTAAACTGCTTCTTAGAAGGGCTTATAACTGTTGATAAACAAACAGATGCTATCTGATGAAATAACTTTTAAATACATCTGGAAGTATAGCAGATAACCTCATCCCTAATGTAGGTTAGTCATCAGTTATGAACAATTCTGTGCTACTAGATAGGCACAGTAGCTGATTTAGAAATGAATTATGTCTGCTAATTTTTTCCCTTAACGTACTTTCTGTTTGTGAAATCCTGCTCCAGGATCTTGCAGTGCAGCAGAATGCACCAAAATGCATGCAAGTTTTGATGACTGGGTATTGTTTCTGTGAGTTCTACTGTCTTTGAAGTCAGAAGTTTTTTTCTAAATACAAATGACAGGATTTTTTTCCATTTAGTGACAAGATTGCCACTGGATCTTTTGATAAAACCTGCAAACTGTGGAGTACGGAAACAGGAAAATGTTATCATACTTTCAGAGGACATAGTGCAGAAATAGTGAGTACTGATGGACGTTTCTTATTCCTTTATGCTTCAACAGACCATCACTGATGGCTGCGGATTCCAAGTCCCTGTGAGCTGACACTGGAAGGGGCAGCTGTTCTGCTGCATCTATTCATGCATTCAGACATTGTGAATATTTCTGCACTGCAAGAAAAGATAGTCTGACAGTTCTTAAGAAATAGAATAAAACATTGTATACAGTTTGAAAAGATATTTTTAGTTTGTTCCAATTTCCCTTGTCTGCTAACCGTTAAAACATTTTTGAAAAGTAGCATAACAATTGGAATTTTCAATTTATTGCACATATTTATTCCCTGACTTGTTTATGTACCCCATTTTATGTACCCATTGCCTTTCATATTTGCAGAACTAAATACACAAGAACATCATTGCTTGTATTGTTGTCTTTCACACTGAGATCTGTACTTCACGTACAGGGCCAACTGGAGCCATAGAAGAATGAATTTCTGAAATTTTAAGTGTGTTAACTGGGAATATGTGGGAAGCTGAAATGTCAAAGATACATGAAATTAAAACAGTTCAGGCTTAAAAATGTTCCAACACACTAGGAGCCCTATTAGCAATAGCAAATATCTTGATGCACAGCTTTCTCATTTTAAAGATCACAGCAAATCCACTAAAAGTCTTAATTTCAATGCAGAATATATTTATTTTTTAAAAAAGCTATGAAGTCATTATTGAGTAAAGCATTTCTGGAAATTGTTCCTCGAAACAAGTGGAATTTAATTTGTAGATTGTGAGGCCTGTGACTAGTGTGAGAAAATGGTGGTTTACCCTGGTGGAACGTGAAGCTGGTTCCAGTGGGGTTTTGGTTCTCTGGATACTTTGAAACAGTTATCCCTTACCGTGGAGAACGTGTTTGCTTATTGAGACAGGCTGCAGTGATTTTGTTTCCACAAATCAGTTAGCTAAATATTTAAAGGCCTTTCAATTTCTTCTGACTTCTGTAGGGCTTAGATTAGACCCAAAGTGTTATGATTTGTGCTAGCAAGTAATTAGTAGAAGATAATAGCCAGCAGAAAATGATGTGTTTCTCTGAATGAGACCTGTTTCTGAAAGGCCATTATTGCATATGACATATTGCTGGCAAGGGCATGTCCATAGTTATTCAGTAGAAAAAAAGAAAAAAAAAAAAAAAAAAAAAAAAAAAAAAAAAAAAAAAAAGAAAAAGTCCGGCCGACGACGCAGGCAGGGAAAGATGACTGTGATTTTTTTAATATGAAAAATGATTTAAGGAAGTTGTTGAGCTTTTGTTCTTGCTTTCTCATAAATAAATACTATGTTTTGGTAATGGTCTTGGAAAATGGCCTAGATAATGACACATGTTAAGATAAGAGTGTGAGTGTACAGAGTCTGTTTGTTTTGTGGTACATAGAACTGCCTGGAGGGTCTCTGCCCCAGACTGATCAAGTTAAAGAGGAAGCCTACCATATTATAGTGTTAGGGAGTACTGTCAGTCAGATTGAACGGTAACTGGAGAATCTTAAGGAGAATTTTGAAATGAAGAAGTAGAAAAGCCCGGAAAGAAGTATAAAAGAATCAAGACAAATTGTTACAGGGTGGGGGAGACATTAGTCTGGAAGCAGCAATTGTCAAAACCTGCTCTTGGTGCTTCCAGAAGTCACCCTGGGCATCACAGTCTCTGCCTAGACCAGAGAGCAGAGCCTTCCTCTCAGAGAAACTGTGAGGAGTCTGCATCCAGCTAGTGGATTGTCAGTATGGGGTTCAAGAAAAAGGCCCTCTTGTCCCCCACTGTAAGATGTGCACGTGTGAATTTGGATGCCTTCGCTCTGGCGCGTGGATCAGCAGATTGTAGGAAGTAGCATGGATTCAACGAAAGCTAGAGCACTCGTGTCTCTTAGGGGAGGTGGGTGCAAGTAGGGGAACACATACTCCTAGGCAAGGGGGCTGCACTTGTAACCCACTCATCTTGTGAGAGGGGATGAGTGTGCATGCAGGAGTGTGAAAGTGTGTGTGTGACTAAAACATCTTGGAATTATAGGAGGAGGTTTAGAAATTTGTAGCTGTTTATTAAGATTGCATAAGTTTATCTATTGTATTACAGACACTGATGTAGACACTGATACTGAATATATAGTTCTCTGCCAGTTATGCGCTGTTAATACATTAACAAACTGCTTCAGTCTTGATTTTGATTAGAACTTTGTGAACTAAATAATTTCTCCATGTGACACAAGATGAAGTACCTAGATAGTGAATTTTAATCCAAGCTCAGAAAACAATACAGGAAATCTTCCAGTGAGTCTCTTTAATGCATTGCCATTGCAAAGCAGCCAATTAGTCCATTTGATTTGAGTAGTCATCCAGAGCTGTGATAAGGGTTTGTTGGTCTTCTAGTGAACTGTTGGAAGAACTCTGCAATTTTTCTGAATGCCATAAAATACTAAGGCAGACTTTTGTCTTGTTTAAAAATATTAATCTTGGCCTATTGTTTTTTTTTTCCATCTAATGTTTCTTGCTACAGGTGTGTTTATCATTTAATCTTCAGAGCACAGTGGTGGCAACTGGAAGCATGGATACCACTGCCAAATTATGGGATATAGAGAAAGGAGAAGAAATAGTCACTTTAAGTGTATGTTTGCCTTCTTTATGTTTTTAAAGGCATTCCTTGCTTCCTTAGTTTTCTAACAGATAAGTAACAGTATAACCCTTACAAGAGTTTCAGAATTTGTGGAGTTTCTGTTACGAGGTGGGTCCTGCAGTGGCTGCAGTTACAAAACAGATTAAGAATACTTGAAGGGAATAATAAAGCTATGGTGTTTTATGAGAAGTCCTATTTATCAAAAGGCAGATTTTTCTCATTTCAGTGACATTACTGCTATAGATCAGAATGCCTTCCATCGCTCATTAAAACGCTTCGCTATATTTATTATGACTGCATTAACATTAATGTTCTCAGAGTTACTTTATGTCAGACACTACATCTGGACACTACATCATGGATCATCTTCTTGTAAACATCAGCAGAGGAAAGCCATCCAATTACCTTTAGATTGTGACGTCTCCTTTCTCTGTGTGCCTTGCTGGGATCTCACAGGTTCAGATTGGCCTGTGCTGTTTCAATGCATTTTTCTCGCCTAAATCCTAAATAACAGGTAGTGAGTACTTAAGCTTCCTTTGGTGTATGTGGCCTAAAGAGTGGGAGTAGCATTTTCTCCTCCTTGACTTTCCCTTCCTCAGAGCCCTGAGTGGAACAAAGCGCAATGGAATGTGTGAACCTTTATAGCTTATAAGTATGCTTACATTCATTTTTCCACGTCTCTCTACCAACACCAATGACAAGCTGTACTGTAGGTTACTGTCGATGAATCATTTGATTTCAGTATGTATTGGTGAACAAATGTGATTCTGTTTAAGTCAAATATGGAAAATATGCACTGATGACATCACTTAAGCAGTCAGCAATTGTCCAGTGGTGTGCTTGATTTTTTGCAGTTGTTGGGATATTGACTATTCCACAGTCTAGTAGATCTTTTTGTCAAAATTGTGATATAGTGGACAAGACCATAAATTATATATTGAAGGGTTATAGATGGATTGTGCTACTGAAAAAAAAGCTACATATTGAATGACATTAATGGAAAACTCATAATTTGCTTTCTCTTACTCTTTTAAAAAAATTTTCTCAGGGGCACTCAGCAGAAATTATTGCATTGTCTTTCAACACCACTGGAGATAGGATTATCACTGGCTCCTTTGACCAGACAGTAGCAGTGTGGGATGTTGGCACTGGCAGGTACTAAGATACTAATAAATATAATTTTACATTGCATGTTTTAATGTCAAATGAAAAGACAATGTTGAGCTATAAATTACAGACCTTGTATTTTCGCTTCATTTAGAGTATGCATTCCTTTATCTTACCATTTTTTACTCCTGTTCCTTTTGTTCTTCTGAAAAGGAGTGCTGCTCACAAAATGCTTTTGTATATTTTTTTTCTCCAAACTTCCATCTTATTAGCACTGAGGAGACAGACAGAATGGACAGATCCTGTGTTTGTTGCTGATGAATTCTCCAAACAGGAAAATATTTTATCAGCATGGAAACTCATGGTTTGGAAGGTGTCTAGAATTTCTAGATGGAACAGACTGTTTAAGTAGAAAGAAAGCATGTGTTATGTCATAGCAAATTAGTCTGGTGACATTGTCTGTATAAACCACAGAGGGTCTGTTTTCCTTCTAACAGTCCTTTATATCAGGGTACATTTTAAAAAGGAGAAAATTCGGCCACTCTGACTGCAGAGAACAAAATCCTTTGATTATGATGCCAACAAATAATAATGTAGTAGTTAGATATGGACTTGTAGTATCCTGACAAATCCACTTGTTTTTTTCAACTGGAAATTCAGTATAAGTAGAATAATAAAATGATTGCTCTGATTACTGACAAAGTAATTTATGAAAATAACAATTCTATTATGTTTTCAGAGGTGATGTCTTCTTTTTGTGAGAGCAAGGGAAATATCTCTGAAATTTATATATAAAAGGAAAGTGTGTGTATAGTGATATCTAGGGGTAATAAACAATGTGTATATCTTCAAAATGAGAATAATCAGGCAATTTGAAAAATAATGTACACATAGTACATCATTTAAGGCTTGATCCTGCAAGCTTTGAACTTACCCAATACCAGCAGTTTAATGTTTGGCATGTAAATACTCAGGAGGTGCTCATTCAGCAAATTGGACCTTTGGATTCAACTTCATTCAGCCTGGTGTTCTTGCAAATTATTTTTTTTTTAAACAGCTTCTTCTTCCAGCTTCTTGTCTGCGCCTGCAGTGAAGTCAAACTCTTGGGATTTTCATGTTGCATTCTTTTTGTCTAAGAAAAGAATGTGGTTTTCACATCAGGGTCAATATCATGAAGCAGAATATGAAGGAGAAGATTCTTGTTTAAACACTGGCAGCTGTGGTAGTTAGCTCATGGGCAATATAATTGTCCAAGGGCCAGCACTCAGCCTTTTAGATGACAGCTGGGCATGTATACATTTAGTAATAACGAAAAGTTGCAGTCAAAAAGTCTGAGCTGATCATACTCTTCTGTGTATAGGTTCAGGCAGATTTGCAAAAACCTTGTAGGTGGGGTTGTGACTGGCCATCTTTCACCATATAAAATACATGAGAAACACTGCTTTCCAACTTTGAGTTTGAAGTTTCTTTTAATTTTGCTGGCTGCCTCTGATGAGAGCCTTTAATCTTCAGTTTTATTCTGAGTATGTATCCAGAATTATCCTGAAGGAAGTTGGTGTAGGGACAAGAAATCTCAAGAAGGTTCAAGATTGTTTTCAAAAAATGTGAAAATTAAAAAAAGAAGGAGGGGGGGGCACGTGCTTTTTGTAATACAGGTCTGTATTTCACCAATAACATCTCAATAGCAGATACAGTCAGCTATAGTTCTGTTGAAGGGGGTCTTCAAAGCTTCATTTGACAAATCAACAGCCTGTAAAGGGTCATGAGTGCCGGACACCAGGATGCTGAGAGACAGTTTCTTCTTATTTGCAATTATGGTGCAAATATTAGAGCATCCATGTATTAAATTTCATTGGAAACTGAAGGCTAAAGAAGTATTATCATGACTGAAGCTGTTTTGGTGGTTTTTTTTTTTTTTTTTTTAAAATAATTTAAATGGAAAATTTTTGTGGCATTTCACAAGCCTGTTTTGAGTTCTTTCTATTTGTGTGTCTTATAGGTTGTGGTTTCCGTGAGATATTCCACATGTTGCTATTTATTCTGTCTATTGATCAGATATTTATGTTGAAGTTTGAAACCCAGACTGCCTTTTTGAAATTTGGAAATTAAAGCTTTTAAATTTTAAATTAAAACTTTTTTTCATTACTAGGTATTTTGGGTATTAGGTATTACAATAGCAGCAGTCTTGATGGCCAAATAATATGTTCACAAAATTAAGACGTTTTCCACTTGTTTTCTGCTTGTTTTTACTGTAAAAAGGTCTATACAATTACAACAGTGCAGGTCTCACATTGTTAGAAAGTAAAAGGAGTAAAAATAAAATGTCATGAGTATAATCGAGTTTTTGTCATCATAAACAAATAGAAAATTCAGTTGCTCAGGAGATTTGCTTTGCTGTTCATTTAGCATATATATTGATTTAGCTACCCTTATATATCTTATGCAATGAATAAAAACATTTCAGTTAAACTCATTTAGTTGTTTTTCTGGTCATTAGTTTATCCATTAGTTAAAGCAGTTTTCTATTAATGATACAGTGATATTAGCGTTACAATAATAACCTAATTTACTAATCCTTTAATACATATAGCAATTAATCTTTTTTAGGGTTCATTGCTTTATAGGCCATTAATTCATAGGAAGCAATAATGGCTAATTGTACCCTCTCTATTCCGCTAAAGCTGAAGAATTTAATGGAATTAATATTTTCAGTCTTTGTACAGCAAGAAGTTTAAGACTAATGAGGATTAGAAATCATATTTCAGTTTGGCTGTCATTTCCCTGTTTCTTGGGAACATGCTAACATTAAGTACCTGATTAAGTTCCATTTGATCTCCCGTGGATTTTACAAAAGACTTAGATTATATGGAGTTTTAAACGCATACTCTCTACACTCCGTTGAAGTAGGATAATGGGAGAATAATGTGGAAAAACTTGCTATATGTTCTTGGTATGTAGATGAATACAAGAAATCTGTCTCTGGCTCTGGGAAGTCATCACATTTCACTGGAGATACATTTGCTGAAGTATTTTTGCATGAGAAGGGAGTACTTTGCCATTTTATTCCTTACTGCCTCTTTGTCTCAATGGTAAAAAATGGAATTGATGTAGCACTAGAAATGTAAATGAGCTGTACCACTCCATTTAATTGCTTTAATGGATAAAATGGTGAAGACTTGACACCTTAACTATACCGTTTTATAAACTCATTTATAATTTATATGCATATATAAAAATACACATTAAAATGTAAATTGTCTTTTTATAGGATGTTACATACTTTAATAGGTCACAGAGGAGAGATTAGCAGTGCACAGTTCAACTGGGACTGTTCTCTCATTGTCACTGGATCGATGGACAAAACATGCATGGTGAGAAAGTTGAGTATGTACTGAATACAGCTACTTGATAGATAAAAATATATCTTTTGAAAATGGAGGAGCATTATTTTAAACTAGTATTATATGTAATTCATTAAAGAATTTACAACTAAATGTAAAACCTATAAGCTTATTAATTTCAGTGAAGTCCAGTTAAATAATAATAATAATATATATATTAAGGCTCATTTAATCCATACACTGAAATAAAAAATATATAGTTATTCATTAAACTGACTGAACAGTGACTCTATTGATTTATATCCAAGTTTCATGTTCATACCTTCAGTCAGACATCAGAAAGGGCCTACACCTGTTGTTTTATGGATCTACTAGATATCTATCAAGTAAATTAGTCAAAATAAACAAAAAAATTACCCTTCTTTATCTATGCAGCTGTGGAATGCTATGACTGGGACACATATAGCAACTTTAACAGGTCATAGTGATGAAATATTGGATGTCTGCTTTGATTATGCTGGCCAGCGTATTGCAACTGCCTCCGCTGATGGTAAGTGAAGTGACTAGGACTGCTGTAAGAGTTGCAGCAGTAGCATAAACTGAATTTTTCCTTTGGTTTTGCTTTGAATGAAGCTTGATAGAAATGGAGTATTGTGACTCGAAACTATAGATCAAGCAATGTTTTTGCATTATAGAAAGTTTGGCATTAAATTTAAAAAATTTTCCCCAGTGAAAAATTTCTTATTTTTTTACATTTTAATCAACTCAATATGTTTTTCCCCTTTAACTTCAAACTTGTAGGGGAATAATTGACTTGTGGTTGAAAATGCATTCTAAATGTTTAGGTAAGTAGTTTTTGAGTTAAGTTTTATTTGGGTGGCTCAAATTTAGGCTTAAATGCCAAAGGTAGCTGGAATTTTAATGGTGGATTTGCTACACTGCTTTCCAAATGCATAGCAGGAAAATACACAATAAAGAGGCAGTTTTGTTTTGGTATTGGTATGCAGCAGTTTTGCATGCTTATTAATTTTTAATTTTTTTTTTTTAGGAATCGGAATAAATAGATTTTGTATTCATCTGCACAGTGTTATGGTAGCACATACTGACAACACCACATTATTTTTACATACTTAAGTGTTTTGATTTTGCACTTTCAGAAACAGGCTACCAGATGGGGGACACTGGATCTGATTTGCTGTGATTGCTAAATTAAGACATAAGACAATATAAAAAGTTTCCTGAAATGTAATCAATAGCTTATTAAGTATAATTAATAGCTTATTAAATAGAATGCATATCTGAAATATAACTAAGGCTTTCTAAATATATTGTACGTGCATTCTGAAATTACAGACTTCAGTGTTCTATGCGGTCCATGTTTTATGTGGACATTTGTATTCACATTTCAGAAGTTTTCCAGCAGAAACTATTCATAAATCAACCTTTTCCAACCAGATTACAGATCCTTTTTGACATACTTTGTCCTTGGAGGAAACTGTGTTAAGAAAGTCTTCTATTTCTTTTGAAATCAAACCTGAGGGTGAGGCCCTTCCAACCTTATTAAAATATTCTTATTGAAATGCATGCTTAAACACAACAATCACAAATGGCTCCTAATCTACTACAACAGGGTCAGCAAGAATCTATAATGCAGAAACAAAAAAGTGCATTGCGAAGCTAGAAGGGCATGGAGGTGAAATTTCAAAGGTAAGTTGTTTGTGGTTTGCACCTTTTCTTATTTATGTGTGACATCCGATCCACCAGTTATCCCATGACACAGGAACACTGTTAAAGTGTGTAGTGGTAAAGTTTAAGATTGAGAGGTCTGGCGAAGAAGTTATCTTTACTGAAGAATGCTTGTTTTGACTAAAATCTATTAGCCAATGATTGTTTCCAACTCCCCACTTCTGAGCTAAGATAATACTGGATGTGCCACTCCTATAGGCTCCTCCAAGAGACATCTCTCCATATTGTCATGTTATTTACTATTTGATTCCTCAGAATTGTGGCAGTTAGTAAGCTACTTAAGAAGTCCCTCCCTCCCAGGGATGGATACCTGGCTTAGTTAACATTGAAATTACTGCTTTTCCTTACCTTTTTCCTTTTTCTGAAACATATATAGGTTGGGTCTCCGCAATTGCTTGGCAGAGAACAGGGGAGCAGAGAGTGAGATGCTGTCTGAATGTTTGCACGCTACGATCACTGCTAATAGAGCTCTGTCTGACCTGTCTTAAATTGTACTTGAGTTATTATACCATTGGAGTACCCAGATTCTCTGACAGAATAAGCACAAGTTTTTTAGTCTCTTGATGACACCTTAAGGCTCTTGCCTCTGAGGCTTTTACCATCATCCTTATTCCTTGCTTCTACCAAATTTTTACTCTTTACTCTCTTTCATTTCTCTGCACACCTGATTTATAGAATGGAACAGAAAAAGCATATTTCTGTGGCAAAATACATGGAGAGTCTTATTTTCAAAAGTGCATAAGGGACTTGGAAGTATAAAACTTGTTTCAAAAATCACTTGGTCATGAGGAGGGTACTCATGTACTTTGCTGGAAGTCTTGCCTGGCTCAATTTTGAATGCCAAAGTTCAGTTCCAAATACATTTAGTTACTTCCAAAACTGTACATATTTTTCAAACTTTGTTATTTAATGCTTGCAACTTTTCCTTATTCTTTCAAATGGATAGTTCTCACTAGCTGCCAGGCTAGTATGCTAAGTCTGTGCTGCTTTTGTCTGATGTATTTTATAATTGAAATATTAATATTTTGAAACTAGGATGGTTCTTGGTGAACAAAACTCATGTGCTTTCATTGTGTTTATTTGGCTATTACAATCACTCCACTGAGAGAATATTAGGTTCAGAAGGGCTAGTCTTCCCTCACTTAATAAAATCAGTGCAATATTTCACACTCAGTGTAGATGCACTGAGGAATGCAGTCTGAATACATGCTGATGCGTGGGTGGGTTAGGGACAGCTCCCATCAGGGTCCTTAGCGCTCGTGTAATTTCTTTGCTGGAAGAGAGATTCTGCTTATCTGGGAGCGTGTTGAAAAGTCAATCAATTTCTGCAGATGTTCTGTGTAGCCGTGATCACTTGGGAAGTTTATTACTTGGAAATGTGATTTCTGGCGAACAGGCATTTTGCCCTCGGGAATTAAGCAATTTTGCATTATATAGTAAACCTGGTATTGTCTGGTAGTACTGTAAAAATACATCTGATTATCTGGAAATGCACGCAATTTTGGCAGTGAATGTTTAACAAATATGGAGACATACTAAAAAATGAGTTGCCTTCAGTGGAAATTTTGACATTATAGAGATGTATGTTATTTAACGTAGAATGCTATAAAACCTGTGAATTTTACATTGGAATGATGGTAACATTTAAGTACAGTTGTTACAGTTGTGTGATTTTGGAGGATAATGTCCTGAAGTCTTAATCCTATAGTAAGCTCATTGTTTATAGACGTTTGCACATACACAAAGTTTTCAGCCACAGAAGTTTGCCAGGGAGGCTCTAGTGGAATACTGTCCTGACTTTTAGCTGAAAAACTGAATGCAAGAGTTACTGCTTTCTGTTTTCACTTTTTAATCACTAGATGTGCTTCTTGTTCTAGGCATATTGACTTGCTAAGTAATAGAACTCTTTTCTGTATTTTTTTGAAGATATGTTTCAACCCTAAAGGCAATCATATACTAACAGCCAGCTCTGATAAAACAGCTCGACTCTGGGATGCTGCTACTGGACACTGCCTTCAGATATTAGAGGGTCACACTGATGAGATATTCTCCTGCGCTTTCAATTACAAAGGCGATATAATCATTACAGGTAACTAATATATCCCAATTTTTTTTCTTTTTTTTTGAGACAGATTTTAAATCTTGTTATAGTAACAACATTAGAATCTGAAAAGTGTTCTGGGGCCATATCCCAAATGCAGGTACCAGCAGTGACTCAAAGTGTAATCAAAAAAAAAAGCTAGAAACTCACTTTGGAACTGAGGCTTAAGTGAATATGGCCATGAACAAATTTGTATAGAGGCATGGGCATACCCTACCATCTGTCCTATGGGCATGTACTAGCCCCAGACCAGTGACTAAGCCATTTTCTCATGCAGTGATGAGGTCTGGATGAGCAAAATGCAAAGTTTTTTAGATGGGAGCACTCCTTTTGTGTATTTGGCACTGCATTCTGTTCAGGTTTCATTCCCTTTAGATGAAAAATCATGGGAGTGGGAAATGTGAACAGAGTATTTGTGATCACTTTGATCTTTTGAGCGAACTACCAAAATATGGGATGCAGGATGATCTCAGCTAAAAATACTGATTGCCTCACAATGTGTTTTTATTACTAGGGAGCAAGGATAACACCTGTAGAATATGGCGCTGACCGAAGACAAGGAAAGATCCAGTTTGGTATATGCCTACTTCATGAGTTTAGTAGTGAATAAACTCAATCTTTCAGATCTGTTTTCTTTTGCCTTCTTTGTTCAGCTTAGCTTTGCTGAAGATATAGAAGTTACCTAGATTTTGATAAGTTTGACTTTGCTGATGTCTGGTAGATATGGAATCATAGAATCACTAAATAGCGGAAATTGGAAGGGTCCTCTGGGTGCTCTAGTACAACACCCCTGCTCAAAGCAGCGTCAACTAAGCAGGCTGCCCAGGACCACGTTCAGCTGGTTTTGAGTATCTCCAAGGATGGAGACTCTATTGTTTGTCTGGGCAACCTGCTTGGTGTTTGATCCTTCTCATGGTAAAAACAGTGGTGGTTTTTTTCTTATTTTTAAATGGAATGTTTTCTTGTATTTTAATCTGTGAACATTGGCTCTTCACTGCATACTGCTGAGATGACTCTGGCTCTGTTATCTCAGTCACCTGAGACAAATCATTGGTGTGAATGAATCCAGTAGGATGGCCCCATTTCTTTGTGTGTCATTTTTTCCTTGTAACCTCTTTAATAAAAAATAGCATTATGATACTCTCAAGTGTGAAAGGGGTGTTGTTACGCACTTGCTCTGAGTACTTTTGTATTCATTTTTTTTGATTGTGTAATAAAGTATTGAGTTAAAATTCCAGTTTCGCTGCTTGTAATACTATGTCCCACTTGATATTTCTGGGGAAACCCGGCAACTATTTGTGAACTGCATTGCTGTTAGCTGTTGCGTGCATGCTATAGTTAGACTCCCACTCACCCCCCTTTCATAATTCCCCACATCTTTCCATTCATTCCATTCCTTTCTGCTTAGCCCTCATTCTTCTGTTTTCATCTGAGGCAAAGAAAAAAAAAGTGGGTGGCGACTCCAACTCTGAATCCTGGCCTAAAGGTTATGGCCAGTATGAAGACACTCTACACACCAACCATTTGGAGCCAAGGATCATGACATAAACTGAGATGAGGAACTCCTGTGAGTTATTCACCACCATGCAATGAACTCTAACCCAGGTTTACCTCTTGCCAGCAATTGCCTGCAGGCTTCACCTGTGCAGAGCCCTCCCCACCTCCTAGCAGAGCACCTGAAACTACCTACTGGTCTCTTCTACAGACCAACCTTCCTTCCTTGGAAGAAGGATGAAGAGGCAAAGAGGACAGGATGGCACAAAGTACGTGTGGCACCTGGGGGACAAAAGGAAGAAAGGGAGTGTGCAGCAGAGAACGAACCTGAAGGTATTTTGTTTATATTCTCTATCTCCGTGTGGTTATGGACTTGACTTCTAAATGTTAAATTTAGTTGGAAGTTACTAATGCTGATGTGCTCTGACTGTCTCTGAGTGCTTGCCAGCATCTTTGTGTGCAAATGAAGAAACAAAAGTGCCTGTCATCACTTGACAAATATCCTGGTTGTTTCAAGTAGTGATGCGTTGTGGGAGAACACAGTGTGCTGCAGATAATTTAAAATTAAACTTTTACAGCAGATAACTTAAAATTAAACCTTTACCAGTAGGCAAAGTGGCTGATGCTAATGTTACAGTAACGCTTGTGGTGTTTCCTGTTGTCTTGTGCAAAGATTTATGATACCAAGAGAGTACCTCAGTAACCTGGAATGGAAAGGAGTAGGAAGGGCAGCGCAGTTCTGTGTTTGGGATTGCCCTGTATCCCTAGGTCAGTTTGCACCTTACTACAGATGTGACATGGGGGATTTCTGGCTGACAAAATGGAGGGAAATTAGTGTAATGCAATGTGTACAAATACTGCTACATAGTTACAAACTGGAGTTTGACTTGCTGTGTAACCATCACAAAGCAAAAGAAATTTTTGGACTGTGATTAGAAAGTAGATTTTTTTTTTTTTTTTTTTTTTTTTTACTTTCTTTCAGGTTGGATTATTTTCTCCTGCCTTTTCCTTTATGATTTTTCTCTTATACTACGCTAGTGATTCAGCAAATCAAACATCTGTAGTAGCTTTTGGCTTCAAGCTCTTGTATTTTTATGCGAAATTGTGAGTGAGCTGAGGTTTTGTAGTCTAAGCATCGGGCCAGGAGGCCATCTGGGCTCTATTTCTGACTCTCCCTAGACTCACTGAGGGAGTGGCATTGCTTTTCAGGCAATGTTATCCAGGTTCCCTGCTCAAATGTGAAATGCTTTCACAGCTATGGTGACTCACAGCACTGCCGAAAAGCATGCTGGCTCAGTGCCTCAAAAGAACTCCAACAGTACTCTAAGTACCACCATGTGAATGCTTCGGTGTTAGATTCCCTGCACCTTGGTTTACCTGTGTGTAGGTTTAATAAATAACAGGGATATACATTAGGAGTGTGTTGTACAGATGTGTCATCCTGAAACCATTCTGTGTCTCTGGTAGCAGCTTGATCCCTTTCTCTGATTCCACTTCAGTCCCTGCAACCAGAATAGCATACGTGCGTGCTCTAACTCTATTGTCCAGTGTCTTTTTAATCTCTTCAACGCATTTGGCTCCTGCGTACCTTGCACTCTTCAAGCTGCCACTGTAATCGCTGGGTGGCTGGGGTGGGATGCGGCTTTCGACATTATCCCGAAATGCTGGCAAACTTGATTTGCTGTGACCTTATTGAGAAGGATTACCTCGGGAGCCTCTTGAAGTGTGTGTTGGTGAGGACTGTCACAGTGGAAATCAGATTTGCTGTATTGTTTCTGTCCTTTAGACCCTGGAATCCTTCCAGTGTATACCTCTGTGAATACACAGGTTTGCTTTTCTGGGAAAGAAGTGCTTAGCTTGTGTCGTGTAACTTCCCCAGGACAGAACATACATTTTTACAAGACAAGGATGAGGATTTCCATGCAAGCATACGATGGGTACTTGGACTCTTGATGTATGCTTTTTGTATCTCTTGAGAGTCAGATTCTTTTCTGAACAGGCGAGGATAATCGCATACCCACTCACGTTTTAAAAGTGGCATTTTGTGAGAATTTCTTTTTCGGTTGCTTCCATATGATCACTTGCGTTTCTTGGGTAGTTAGTGAAAGGGTATGAAATATATCCTGATTCATTGTATTTTCCCGTTTGCTGCATTTTACTAACTTTCAGCTGAGGCTGGGAGGAGGGCGTAGTACCCATCAGGCAGACCTGGCTTCACTGCAGATTATTTTACATGTTTGATAGTCCTGCTGTCTGATTTAATCATCTGTCCTGCTCAATGCTGTACAGCTGCAGGTGGCTTTCTGAGGGCCTGTTTCTTGTGGTGACTGGTTTCAGAGTGGAGTTGAAAAACTGAAATAGTGGCATTATGAGTTCGCTTGTGCTTAGCAAAGGTTTAGGAATGACTCTGGCTTGAATTAAAATTCTTAAGTTGGCTGTTATGGGTGTGCTTTCCTCTCAGCTGGAATTTATTTATCAAGTAGCTCATGTGGGCTCTCTATTTCAATAGAGTGGTGAGGGTTGTTGTTTTTTTTTTTTTCCACTGGCATTTTGGAAGTCAGAGTGCAGGACTCATGGTGACATTCCTGTGCTCGTCTGTCACCCACCTCTGCATGAAACTGGACAAGAGCAACAGTAAAATCAGCCTCTCCGGAAAAGTCACTTGCTGAATTTAATAGGCTAACTGTAAACAGGTGACCGTTTTATCATACACCACAATAAAATGGTTCATTTACTTGAAGACACTATGAAAATCTTCAGTGCTATGACAAAATGAAGATTATAGTTTTTCTACTTCTAATGATCCCAGCATTACAAGCACCTTCAACAAAAGCAAACTAAAACTGAAGGCTTTAAACTTATTTTTCGGTAGGTAATTATCCTGTGTTTGAACTAATGTATCTGCAGGCCAAACTCTGCTCTTCATTACGGGGGAGGCAGGGCCAGCGCCAGGGTGGAAGGCAGCTTTGCCTGAGGCCTTCTTGCAGAGGAGGCGGTGAGTGGGGCAGCCCACGCTGGGGCCAGCGCTGCTGTGGGTGCGGAGGCAAGGGTCTGCTGCTCCCCAGGTGGCCTCCGATGGCACCTCCTGAGGCGGAGAGGGTTTGTCTTTAGTAAATTGTGGTGCATCTCTTTCAAGTACTTATCCAGCTCCCACTTGAACCTACATACAAGTTTCGCATCCTCTCATTTGATCGAGTGTCACCTCTTTCTGTTTGCTTTGAATCTGGCTCGGGTGGGTTTCCTTTGTTGGGCTGTACCTTTTGCAGCGGGAAAGACAGCGAGCAGCCAGCCTCTCCACGCCCTCGTGACAGTAGCGGCCTGCGTCATGCTCACGTATACAGAGAAGCTGAACTGCACGTAACCTACGCTGAGATTTTTACCTAAAATTGTATGTTTCATGAAGTTCTCATTTATGTGTAATTAAAGTTGACTTTAATTTTTTTCAGCCTTTTTAAATGGTGGACAAGTTCTATTCCGATTTACTCAGCTAAGTGTTGGTTTCCTTTTCTGTTTAGCAGTAGAAATGCCTTTACACCTAGGCAGTAGGGTGGTAAATATCTGTGCAAATGTAAACAAGCAGAAGAAATCCCTGAAATTCTGTCTCCCCACCACCCTGCCCACTTCTGCAGGTACTGAAAGTAGCCATGGTGAGCCCTAATAGAGATTTGATACGTTGGGAGTTATTCTGGGGTTAATTCTTGGCAATGAACATGTAATTCCTCTTTATTGTACTGCGGTACTAAAAATGTTGAACACTTGAATGAGCTGTGGAGCCTGAGTAAAGCCACAGCTCTGGTACTGAGGTAAGACTTGGAGCTTCTGCTGACTTGTTTTGGGTAGGACCATGGGTCAGATTTTTCATTCAGAAGCAGAGCTTTGAGCAGCCCCAGGGATGCCAGGCAAATATTTAATACATCAAAAAACCCAAAGCATGGTCATGAACTTTTTAGGAAGGCAAAGAGGACGCACGTTATAACACAAATTTATTTCTGAATAAATTGCAACATTAAGAACTACTGTACAGAGAAACTGCATCACACTGTTACAACTCTGTC